AAGTGTAAAACATTTTCTATCGCTTTTCATACTTAGGTGAAACGTGCATCATATAAAAACTTTCACATTTTAAAATTTGCTATAATATAATTAAAAATAGAATAAATTAATATAAATAGATAAATTAACACAATGTAATAATTTTTAATCTTATTTTGAGAGATGATAGACTCAACCAATTGTCTAATTTGCATAAAAGACATAATAAATCAATGTATATAATATATACAAGTTAATATTGCCGGACATAATTTTATTTTATTTTATCTAGTTCCAAATTAATCTAAGCTTGTATTAATGTCACAACTGTAACTGATAAACATACTTAAACATAGCTGTAATTTATAAATACTGTAAATACATCACTGTATAGGCTAGAAAAAACTCTAGATTTAGTGTTCATCAAGCAATATTTTTAAGCAGTGGGGATCGAATCTACACTCTGGCGAAAGAGGTAGGTTCACTCTCCGCTACGTTATTAGGGGTCATGAAAATATAATATGTAAATTGAAAAATATTATCCGAGAAAGAACTTTTAGCATCGTTTAATTTGCATTATAGCCCAGAGGATTGATAAGAAGTGATAATGAGCCGATGGGGAAAAAAGATTCTCGAGTAGCAGTAGAAACAGAAACAGATTAATTAAAATTAAATTTAAGCGGAAACGGAAACAGAAACTAAAGCGGAAATGGAAGTGTAAATACTAGAAAAATACTCCTTTTCATTAAATTGATATTTAATATTCGGACTTAAGTAGTAATATTATTAATTTACAGTATATTATTTAGGATTACTTTTTAAATGAAAAAAACTAAAAAGTGCCTAATTTTATATTGAATTACAAACGAAAGAATCAAAGAAGCAAATAAAATTGACGCGTAGACCGCTTTAGTTAAGATATACCATCTAAGTTCTTATTAAATGCAACAGAATCGGTTGAATAGTTTTATCTAACAATAAATCCCACTTGTTAATTAGGTCGTGCCGTCAACGGGGACTTTACTTTGAGTATAAATTTCCCTGCTAATACACTAAATGCGTTCCAGTCTCAGTTGTTAGCTGTGGTTTAAGTTAGCTTGTCCTGAAGCGCTACCTTTTTCCAGGGCCGTTATTAAAGTTTATATCTTCGCCAAGGGACCTTACGATAGCGAAGCCACGAATTTAATTTCCATGTGAAGGAATTCCGTCAAAGTGAAATAATATCAAGGGCCGAACAAATTCGTTTTATCAGTGGCTTGTTTTTTTTTTTTTAGTTTTCATTAACAATTACGTAATTTTAACTTTCAGTTTTTGATAAGTTTTTAAAACAATATAAATAGAGATTTAATTTCTAGAAAGTGAACTGAACTGAACTGAGACAGTAACATTTTTGATGCATTATGAATAGAAATTAATAAAATGTTAAATTAGATACCTTTGCAATTCGTTCTCCCATAAAGAATGATATAAGAAATGGATGAAAGACATGAAAATAAATTTAAATATCGAGATAACTATGAGTCAATAAGAAAAAATAATTTTCTATGTAAAGATTAGCAATGTCATGTCATATTGTCATTTCCACAAATTTTATAAATCACTTGCTCAGACTTTTGACTTATAGAGCTTCTATAGCTTATTCTAGAAAGCTTTGAGAAAAATTATCAATTAAACTTTCTTTCTCATCCATCGGTGCAATATATGAATCATTTTTTTAATGATTTTGCCTCGGTTATTTACGGCCGCATGTCTGCTGTTTACCCTCCTTGGGAATAAACACCCAGATCCGGGGAATAAATAAAATAAACAACAAAGGAATCTTTGGGTTGAACAAATACTTGCCCCGTATGAGTATCGAGTCATAATTATACTATAAATGTCAACTAAACTCTAAAAAATGCCAATAAATCTCTTAATAATTGCAGCTCTTAATTAAATATATATATATCGGCTCGGAAACGGCTCCAGCGATTTTCATGAAATTTAGTATGTGCGTAGATTCGGGGGCGAAAAATCGATCTGAATAGGTTTCATTTTTATAAATTGTCGTTTTATCCCAGTTTTTAGGGAATGAAAAATATTATTCGAATACGACGGTAAATTGCACCGAAAAAAAAAAATGTTGTAATAGCTCGGTCGGTAATCAGGCGGCCCCGAAACAGAAGGCTGTGGTTTCGTGTCACGATCATTTATGCACTATTTTTTTTACTTTTTTTTCGATTCCAGAGCATTGCTTTCTTTATTTTTTGTCGATCCAGATGATTTGTTATTTTTTTTAAAGTTCTTTCTTTTGTGAAAAACACCAGTTCATATTTTCTTATGATTACGTCGGTAAGATCGAAATATTTTATGCACATTTCATTACTCAGTAATTTGTATATAAATTTAATTTCCAAAATACATGATTTACCAAAAAAAAAAAACAAAGTGAGCAAAGCTCGGTCCTCCAGGTACTTGAAATAACGCTAGCTAGAAAGGAACAACTGTGTACGACATAAAACTGTTGCTTAACTTTTGGAAATTTTAAATGCGTCATCTTGTTCAGCGGTTTAATGTTTTGCGCGTGGGAGTTATCGTTAAAAGTATCGGAGAGTTTATAAAAGAGAAACAAAAATTTACGTACGGTTTTTTTGTTATGTGACGATTACAGTTTTCTTTGAACATAAATCGGTCCATTTGAACGAACCTTTACCGAGAATGACAGGGCTTTACTGCACCGGTTAGTTTAAATCACATAGCTCGAAAAACCAAAGGTCAGCATGGCAAAGTAATTTTAAAAAAAATCCACAAATTGGGTTGCAAAAAGTTGCAGTGATTAAAATGTGCTACTTTTTTTAAACATTGCTAAAAAACTATGTAGATAATAGACATGTCCCATTAACAGCCTATACATGGACCACTGCTGGGCAAAAGCCTCCTCTATACAGAGGGTATCAGGGCATATTTTTTTTGTTTCGAAAATATGAAGGTTTCCTCACGATCTTTTCTTCAAAACTTCATTGGTGCCGACACCGGGGATCGAACTCAGGTTGCTCAAGTATATTGAATTAAAGGCGAGCGCCCGGACAATGAGCTATCACGGCTCTTAAAATTAAATTTACTTTAAATTAAAATTTACTAACGTAAAATCAATTGTCGTCTTTGTCTACAAAAGTTCTACAACTCCTACTATCTCCTACCAGTCCTATCACTAGAATTTGCGAACAAGTGACAATATACATACATAAGACTGCTTTGAAGCAATGATGTTTATACTTTTGAGTTTTAGCAGGTATTGTTAGTGGCTTACCAAACACCGGTAACATTTCTGGTATTATTAAGCTTATCGCGAGAACTTACATTACTCACAATAAAATTATGCACCATAAAAGGCTTTACGTATATTCCAAATTTTACTATCCATGAGTAGATACGGTCACAGTATTAGAAGATTACAACGATTCAGTGAATCTGTCGACAAGTTTTCGGGTAGGTACTCTGGAGTTTTCCTTTTAAATGCGAAGAGAGTATAAAATATGCACGATGTTTTCATTCACCGCTGAGCACATCATAATTCAGCACTTAAAATTAACAATTTCATTGGTCCCGGCACCAGGATCGAACCCAGGTTGCTTGAGTATATTGAAATAAAGGCTAGCGCCCGGACACTGAGCTATCACGGTTATATATTTTAAAAATTTCCACCACTTGATCGTTAAGTGTCATAGTACTACAGATTAGGTATAAATATTGATAACCTAAATCAGAAATAGGAATGTAGCAGTTGACACCAAGATTTAAAAGCAAAATGTTAACTTAATTTTTACGTAGCTTCATTAGACGAATGATATCCACTGTCTATAATATAGATTTAAATTATTTCTGTTTGCCCCGGAGTTCGGGTCGGACTGAAAACCAGTGTCGGGATCGGAACATAGATAAACATATTAGTTACTGTATCTTGATTTTTACTGAATCCCAGAATTTAGCTTTTTTTTTGATGTTTTAATCAATTTTAATTTTCGTAATATTATTTTATGTTCGGTGTAATTCCATTATTTTTATTATTTTTATGTTTTTATTGTGGTTAGACCATGAATTTGTTTGTTTGTTTCTTTTTTTCTAGTATATATCTATGGCGATAGTATGCAAGTTGCAATGCAGTTTTAGTACATGCAACTTTTTAGACTAATTAGTAGTTTTGATTGTCTCAAAGGAATTTTAAATAGTTGGTAAATAGGGGAACGATAACGTAAAAATAACTCAGGAATTATTTGAGATTACAAAATGATGGTTTCTAACATGAACAAACAAATACATAACACAAGAAAGTTATTCAAAATTAATGAGGTATGGGACTTAACTCGGAAGTTATTTACGATGCGGACTTTTTTTATTCTCGTGCCGTTTCATAATTTCGATTTACTGTAATGCCGTAATATTTCCTGAGGATGTTTTCATTACGATTCGCCAACGTGCCTTCTTTACTTATCACTCTGAATCCGAAATAATCTTCCGAAATTCTATTATAAAATTATTTTTTTTTCAAGGATTCACATATAACTGTTTTGATTAATTTTAGGTGGTAACTATCGTTATAGTCAACCAATTATAATATAATGAGTAGTCGATTGTGCCGTCATAACTTTCATGGCTAAAAAAAAGATTTTTTTTGTATGTAAAAATATATACGTGTTTCGTGTATGTTTTTATATACACGTTTTTCTTCAGTCAATTCGAGTCGGGTATTTCTTTCATCATGACGTTGTTGTCAGTTATATCAAATGTGAACTGTTTTATTCAAAAAATATTAATGCGACTAAAAGCGTAATAAGCATCGCCTTCGGAAATGTTTATTACATTTTTCCTCCTCCTTACAACTTAAGAAATTTAAAAAAATAACTAATCATATTTTTACCTTTACAGCTGCTCTGGAACTGTATCGAGGCAAACTACCATTCCCGAATCGTTGTGGTCATACATAAAGTCATGATGACCCGGAATGTGATTTCCACTGCAAAAGCCACGTGAATTGCTTGATTATGACGTCACATCTGGAGCAATTCAACGACTCCGTGGCAAGGGCGGCCGACGAGGACTTCCTGCTGATGCCGCGATGGGGCTACATAGTGTCCGCCCTCGTGTTGTTCCTGATTGGATTCTTCGGTTTCTTTCTAAATCTCCTGGTCATCCTGTTGATGTTTAAAGATCGACAGGTGAGAAGTTTAATGTGGTAGGGACACTCAACGGTTTTCGCTGTTGCAAGAATGCTCAGGTCCATCCGTGGAAGTACCACGGTTCCGCAGAAGACCGCCTTGAAGTGGAAGTGTTATACTTCTGCGTTTCGCCTGGTGACTGAGGTATCCGGGGCCCACTTTATCAAAAGGCAGCAACGCATCTCCAACCCAACGAGTGATGCAAATGTCCATGGGCGGCGGTTATCACATAACATTAGGTGTACCGCCAGCTCGCTTGCCTCCTTCTCACATAAAAAGGCACACAATTTTACAACTTCATATCTCTTAAACACTTAAATTTATTTATTCCACAGCCATTCTTTTCTACCCTTGAAATTTAGACCTGAGCCTTGTGAAGAGCTATGGAGAGCTTTTCTCGGAATCCTTATTAACGATTCATGATGTCAAGTAATGTATAGTTATTGGCTAAAATAAAAATTTCATATCGCATTTTTGGATTTAAATGTGAAAACATCGATTTCTACAAAAATCGCTAACACTCTTTCGTATATTTACATGACATCTATGATAATGAGTTGAAATCACTGGTGCAGAGGACATCTTATCGACCTGTTTCAGAGATATTAAATTCTCAGAGAAACTTGTCTCATCTAAGCGAAATGAACGAAATCGTCTTCATATAATCAACGCCTATTAGTCGAGCTTGCGTGAAGCAGTGACACTTACAAGTATAAGTTGTCTTACAAGTTTACCAGTTCAAAAGACGAGGCTTACTAGATTAGTCGTCTATTTTTAAAGAAAAGTAAACAAATCTCAGTACAAAAGTTTTGTATATGTAATGGTGTGTTTTTGTTTCAGCTGTGGACACCATTGAACATTATATTGTTCAATTTAGTGTGTTCGGATTTCTCGGTATCTGTCCTGGGCAACCCGTTCACACTAATTTCCGCCTTGTTCCACCGATGGGTTTTCGGACGTACAATGTGTGTTCTCTATGGTTTCTTCATGGCACTGTTAGGTGAGTATGAAGAACGAATTTTACGAATAAAAATACCGCATGTACGGTAAAATAATGTTTAAATGTTATTGAAGGGACACTTCTTTGGAGGATTTGGGAAAAAATATGAGTGTAATTTTTTTACGATGCGCGCAAACACCTGCAGTTAAAATGCGACAGGATGAAGTTAGTTGCAGAATGATCAACTTCACGCTATAACCGAGGCAAACAATAACAACTTATATATATATATATATATATATATATATATATATATATATATATATATATATATAGGCTTGTAATACGACGCTGTGCGCGAGTTGTATAGGATGTTAAAAATTTTGTTTCTTTTTTACTTAATTAGTTTGTTTGAAAAATATTTTTTTTAATTATGGATTTTGTTTAACGTTAATATTTTTTTATGATTATTGGCAAGTAGCGATAGACGTGTGTTCATTTATTGTCGCGATGGTAACGACACGCTGTATATATATTCATTTTATGACCATTTTTAAAGTATATACGTTAGTGAAAATTGATATACATATAAACGTATATCATATCGTAAATCAAACTGTAGATCGTAATAATACATAGGTACTTTATTTGTATCATTACTGCAATCAGCCATTAATTGCATAAAATGACCTCGTAATTTGTTATTGAAGTTGTATATTTCTTTTAGGGATATCCTCAATAACGACCTTGACCGTTATATCCTTCGAACGGTACCTGATGGTGACTAGGCCGCTGAGGTCAAGGCATCTCAGCTCAAGAGGGGCTTGCGGATTAATTGTACTCATTTGGACCTACTCATTGGCACTGACCACACCACCTTTAATAGGCTGGGGAAGCTATGTCAACGAGGCTGCTAATATAAGGTGAAAACTTCAAATTATTGTAAATCTGGCGAGTGATATAGCTGAGGCGCTCTTTATCGAGGCTTGGTAACTCAGGTATTGTAAGTAAATGTTCATGAGCGGTAATCACAAAAGTCAGGTCAACCGCTTGCTCGCTTTCTGACTTGTCAAAAGAAGAATATACTGATTTTGTTGTGTCGCAATGTTTCGAAAACAACTTTCCTCTCTCCAGCCAGTGTTAACTTCCATCTATCAATGTATACGTCTATATCAACTGACACCGAGTTAGTAGTATTTTTTAATCAATGACTGACTTTACAGCCGTGAAGTGCTGCTATCTAGGATTCTGGCTTATTGATTTAATTTGTAGTGACTTCAGTATTATTTAATATAAGAGTAACGGAATTAGATAATGTAATGGATTAATATTTCATTGTAAATGCTGTTATTCAGTATTATTTAATATAAGAGTAACGGAATTAGATAATGTAATGGATTCCATTAATATTTCGTTGTAAATGCTGTTTAGTGCTGTTAACCGAAACGATAGATTGCCTTGTAATTTCTTATTTTCCGAAAATATCGATTTTAAAATATATTAAGTATATTTTTAATTAGAATTCAATGTTAGATACAAATTAATAAATATAATAGTTATAAATTGTAATTATTAGCTTTATAGGTAATGCATAATAAATTTAATATTTAATGAGGTCTTTAGAATATTTTGCTGTGAAAAATGATTACAAAACCGAATTATTACAAAATCTCCTTTTGGAAAAATTATATAGGTACTACGCATTAGATACTAAATAATATAGAACTAAAATCATACAACGTACGCTATGGAGAAACGATTAATTGTTACGTATATTATTGTATCGAAAAATTTGGTCCCTAATCTTGAAATGGACAGTAATTGAATTCATTGACGTAAAGGTTGAGTTGACTTCAGCCGACGCAATAAGTAGGTATAGACAATTAATTATTTTTCAATATTGACAAGTAGAGTTCAAATTATAACTTTATGGACAATTTAATGAAACTAGAGTGTTTCATGTCGTTTATAGTGTATTGTTATGTATTGTATATATATATATATATATATATTAATAGTGTAATAATGTTTTTAATTGACTTACTTTTCACTTTAAACTTTAACTTCAAACACTTTTAAGTTTAAAATTTCAAAACGATTGGACATTTTAGTATTTGAAATTATTAGGAGATATTCAAATTTATTAAGATTTAAGTCAAACCTTATAACCTAATTTCATAGTCAAAACCTTAAGATTACTTTTTGATTGCAATATGACTATTATAACTATTAATTATTAAAAAAAAGCAAAGTAAAAGCCTGTATGAGTTTATTAGGGTATAGTCTGCCACGCGATTCCAGCCCAAATTGACGGACTTCACGTAGTAATAATAATAATAATTTATTAGGGTGCCGTACCTCAAAAGGTTTTCTCAGGTACGGGTGGACCTAGTAAGTTGAAATTTGTACCAAATACTGAGGTCTATACAACCTACTAGGTGTATAAAAATCAAGTTCTCGAGTCAACACGATAAAAGGATAGAGGGAAAATTTAGATTTTCGCGAAAATTTATCTTAATTTTCAACGGATTTTCCCCTTTACTTGTGCTCTGACAATTCTAGGTAATTTATAAATTTCAACTCGCTAGGTCCACTCGTTTATGATCGGATGGATGAAGATCGGTGGTAACTATTAACCAGTTTTATTATGGCGGTATAATGGGTAGGTATGGAACGCTCGGCGTGTAAGAAGCTTAGATTTTATGTAGAGGGTAGTTTGCGAAGTTTTCATGTTAGTTTATTTGTTTTAATGTAAGTTTATTTTTTTATATTATTATATCGAAAATATGCGTCACGTTATAAGTCAGCCGTTAAAACTGCAATTAACAACTTCATTGGTATCACCGCATTATGATTTATTATTTTTCAGTAAGGATACGACCTAAGTGAGATTGATTAAGCTCCAGTATAAGCGTCAAGTTGTGAATTAATCAAGTTTCTTCTGGTAGCCCGGTCTACCTCAATAAACGTTGGTACAAATGAAACTTTCGCTTATCTATTAGTAACACAGTAGCTGTTATCAACACGGGGCTGCATTAATCAATGTAACCTGGTGATGGTTCTGACCTTTTCACAAAAAAGTTTTCTAGATACAATGACAACCAATCATCATCATCCTCCTGCCCTTATTCCAGACACAGGACACATTTCTACACAACGTTTCATCTAGTCCCAAACTAAGCAACGCTTGTACTATGGGCAGGTACTAGATAACTGATAAACATACTTAAACATACTTTACTTTCGTAAACAAATATATATTAAATACCCAGACACTGGAAAAACACTATGATCATCACATAATATTTTTCCAGTAGTGGGGATCGAACCCACACCCTCTGGTGCAAGAAACAGGGTCAATACCCATTAGCCTAATCGGGCACAATATATGAATCATGCTGTAAGCGGTTTGGTTATGTTTTTTCACTACCGGCCGCCAGCCTGACATCAACCCTCCTTGGGTAACAAACACCCAGATACGGAACTATTATCTGTGGGTCACACCAATAATTGTCCTGTGTAGGGATCGAACCCACGACCCCTGGCGCCGAAGCCAATAGCTTAGCAACTGCCCCACCTAGTCATCATAATTGAGAACCGATATAAAGAAAATGAACGTTATATGTTAAACTCTGCAGTATTCAGCCTTTTTTCTATTTCAAAACGACCTTTGCGTTTAGTACTCTTTAACGAATTTATTGTTGATCTAATATTTACAAGATTAAATCTATCTAAAATTACATATTATCTAATAAACCTAATCCACGCGGCATGGTGCCAAGAACGCTAGCTGCATTTCCTCGCTGAATAGTTATGCTCAACCTTTGCGCGAGAAAAGAACCTGCTCTCTTGTCACAAGCCGCGGCGTTAAGCCTAGGACATAAACTTTTTAAAAAATTTGATGTGCGGGGACCCCACGGACCTAATGTTTCAACAGCAAATGGCACAAATACTACTCTTTTAAATATCTTAGAAAGAATTTGTCGGAAACAATGTTATAAGTACAAAAGGTTATAAAGTATGAACGATTTTGTGGTGAACTTCCAAAAAATAACTGGGGCGCTGACTTTAATATTGTTTATACATGATAAACAACATTAAAGTAAGCACCCCAGTAATTTTTGCATATACTATATGTTTTTTGGTTTAATTCAGTGGATTAGGTAACTACAACAAAAAACATTTTTTCCATTCCTAGTCTTACTCGTATATCTCAAGGCGCGTATTTTACACCTGCCAGGCAGGCTCTTTATTTTTTCTTTTAAGACAAATTTAATGGTCTCTCTTCCCATTTTATTTAGTTCTCATTTGTTTTAATGTAAGCTTATTCTTTTCACATGCGACGATTTTGAAGAAAAATTTATTAAAAAAATGTTGTGTTGTAAAATTGTGAACACTGAAATTCTTCGTGATTTTTGTGCCTATCTATATAACTAAAATGATAAAGGTTTAACGTTCTGAGCACATGACGGAAAAGCTACTCTATTGATTTCAATTGATTCTTCTAAGTTTTGTTTCTTAGACACTTGAACCCTATCTTATAAGAAAAATTGTGATATCTTCATCTAATTATAAGTTTTAAGAAAATAGTGAAAAAAAAAGAAGTGTTTTTTGCTGTGGAGAAAAGGGACAAGCAAGGCGTAGTTGTTAATGATGTAACGCAGATGAAATAGCTGACATAGAGCAAAATATACTTGTCCAGTGTCACATATGCTCACAATCTTTAGATTTTTCCTGTATTCAACTTTTCGTATTTCCTTCGTTCAGGAACGTATAACAGACCTTAACAATGTTATTCACCATTTCGTCTGTTCATGAAGTCAGATTTTGAGCATAATTTGAAAAGTGGGAGACAGCCGGCTCGACTTCATTATTTATAGATATAACATAATTTATAGAAGATAACGGTTTTTTCGTTTTGGTATACCTAAGTAGGGTTTAAAGGCACAGCGCGCAGTATAAGCCTTCACATTTTAATAATGGTGCGAATGATGTAAATGTGTTTGTTTTCGAAACACGCGAACATTGAACGTTTTTATTTAATTTTATCTCAAAATACAATTTATACAACATTCATACATAATACGTAATATGTAATATATGGGAATAACTAAGGGACACTTTCTTCCTTGCATGCCAATAATAATTTAGACTTTTTCTCACATTAGCAGTAACACTAATATTAAATTTATAACTAAATTTATTTAATAATAATATATTTTTTTTGAATCCCTTCTATGTTGACAGTTGTTCCGTCAATTGGCACGAGCAATCGGCGAATACGCTCACCTACATACTGTTCCTTTTCGCGATGGGACAGATCCTGCCATTGGCGGTGATCACCTTCAGCTACGTCAACATAATTCGGACTTTGAAACAGGTACATGGGATTTTATACGATTGTTGTTTTTTAAATTTCAATGTAATTGTGCGGGAAGTCGATGGATGCAGGTGGCTCAGGGTAGTACATCGTGGCAGTCTGCGGGGGATATGTTAAGCTGTGGACTCAAACAGGCTGAAATGATGATGAACAGTACAGATACATCAGTATATATATTGTTATATCCTTTACAGAATAAAAACATTTACATTTACCGTTTTACAACGATAAGCATTGCAAAATTAATAAGTCTGCAGTTTACTGATAATTTATCTTTAGTATGAAATTCCTATTTTCTTAATTTTAGTTTATAAGAGTGATTAACTCTTTTTACCAATGTTGTGTATACCTGTAATAGGCATATATATAAGAATTGACCCTATAGCATAGAACACATAAATTAAACTACATTTTGTGCTGTTAGTGTACCTAAGAATAAATAAATAAATAAGTAAATAAGTCCCTGTGAATTGAAAATTGGCATCATGGTGGTAAAAGACGATACTTTGCAGAACTCACAACGACTTGGTCGAGTAAGCCGCGCCGAGTCCCGCGCGACTGCCATGGTCTTCATAATGATCGTAGCTTTCACCATAGCCTGGACACCATACTCGCTCTTCGCTTTATTGGAACAATTCGCAACGGAAGGAATAGTAAGTATTGAATTCAGGATTGTTTATTTGATGCGCGTTTTTTTAGTCGCTCCTTTTAGTTCTCAATTTTTTAATAGAAAACGCAGCAACAAAGCGAGTAGTTCAACTTATGTCGTCTCCTTTAACCGTAACATCAGGTGAGTTGAAGGTTGCCGTCTTTAAGGTTAGGCTTAGCATTAAACCGAACATAACATTTTTACCTTGATCTTCGTCAAGTCCGTGATCCAATTCTGGCCGAATCAAGTCGTTCATTTAACAGCAAAAGCTGTGTCGAATATCGTGTGGATTTTATTCAGTATGAGTCCGAAATATCCCTCCCTTGCGCCGGCGATTACGGGTCGATAGTTTACTTCCCGAAGTGGATATGTCAAGCAGTAGGATGTTGACTAAAATTGACATTATTAGTCTGCCTGCTGTCTATTTTAATAATAGACGTATTCCGTAATCCAATTCAATTAAAAACCTTGGCCTATTTATGGTGAATAAAATAAATTGGTCACATAAACTTTTTATGGTCTAAAGAATTTTCTCCTTTTCAAGCTCTTATTTGTGCAAACACTTATTCTTTCAATAATTGATTACGCGGATGTTTTTTACTCAGACGTAAACAATGGTCTTTAAGCATAAGCTAGAGCGCCAACTGCATAAGATTCTTGGTCTTCGAAAATATGATAAGAGTACTTCCTATCGCTCTCGTCTCAAAAGACTTACAGTCAAACAAAGGCGTGGCTCTAGAATTCTGCTTATTCTTATCTTCATCTTAAATGATCCTGTTTCTCCGTGTTATCTTAAAGATATTAATTTAAAAATGTGTATAAATTGTATATTGTCAATATATACATATAAATAATTTAATGTAATAATTGCAACTACCACGATTCCTCATCACGCCCCCAGTTGACTGGTAGAGAATGCCAAACAGCAAATAAGGTTGCCCTTTGTAATACTTTTTAAAGATAACTGCTATAAATAATAAATAAATAAATGGATAAAAATATGCTACTGCTGACGCTGCGGGAAGGAGCTGACGAAGCTGGACAGAAGTCGTAGGAACGTAGGAAAACAATGACGTAGCACGTGGCACGTTCTGCGGTCATTGGCGTATCTAGGGTTATTTTTCAGGGTGGGCCTGGGCCTTTACCAAAAAAGAAATCAAACTATGCGTCGCATTATAAAAGTAACAGTTCATTATCGTTAATGATTTTTATTAATTAAGTATAATAGTAGTATTAATTAATTAATAGTTAGTACGTTGCGTACAGTGTTTAGTACAAGCAAATCAACGAAATTTATTGTAAACTAGTATATAATAAAAACTAAGTATCTACATAGATTTCCGGGCTGAAGATAATTATTTGATTTCAAAGATTTTAGGAAGTTTCTTAGGTATCCAGCCCAGAATTTCGAACCGGTAACCTAAATCCTGGGTCGGGCACTATATGATACTGGGGTGGACACGGCCCACCCGGCCCCCCTGCTATATACGCCTATGTCTGCGGTAGTAAGTGGCAAGCTTGTGTGGCACACGGCAACTGCGTGATACGTGGCAGGTTGTCAAACTGCTGGCCTTACTTCTAGGCAACAAGTGGCTTCATGGAATAACATGATAACATGCGACAGTGTGGAAAGCATAAGCTATAGTCCCATTATTGATGACGTGTGTCACAATCGGAACGAAGTTATAACAAAAACAACGAGAACTTAATTAACATTACTAAAGTTAGCATAGCGTTGCAAAATCAACTACAATAAGCATTGATTTTAGAGTTAAGACAAGTTCAGACATAACAGTTAACATTTTTAAAGGGTACATTTGCTTAAAGCGAAAAAGCGACAGGTCTAAATGCTGTTTTGTATTTTCTTAACGTTACTAATGCTAGTACAGCGTAGCAAAAGCAACAGCAATAAGCATTAATATAATAGTTTAGATAAGTTTAGAAACAGCGGTTAAAACTTAAGACATATTTGCTTAAAGTTCAGAAGTGAGTGAAGTAAATGATATTTGATATTTAATGTATAGTATATGTGAACATTTAAGGTGTATTTGTCTATTACTTACGACTTAGGTGATAACTTTCGAACTGGTTTTTAAATTTTTTAGGTTTTAATTTTTTTTTCTGTTGATAAGTTAGCTTTTTGAGCTGGTCTTCTCTTCTTCGATTCTCCGTCTTTTCTGATTTTTGGTTTGTTTTTTATTTATATTTTTGTATATATATTAATTTTTATGTGAGAAGGTGGCAAGAGAGCTGGTGGTTTAACTGATGTCATATAAATAATTGATATAATTATTGCACCTACCACGATTTCTCACCACGCCCCGGGTTGACTGGGAGAGAATGCCAAAAGGCATTAAGTTCGCCCTTTGTAATCCTTGCTTAAGGTAATTGCAATAAAGAATAAATAAATAAATAAATAAATAAAATGTTAAGTGGTAACCGCCGACCGTGGACAATTGCAACACCCGAAGGGTACCAGATGCGTTGTCCCCTTTAAATAAAGTAGGCCCCTACCTCACACATCAGACGAAACGCAGAAGAATTATAACACTTCCACTTCACGCCGGTCTTCTGAGAGGTCGTGATTCTTACCCGGACGGACCTGCCAATTCGTGTCACAGAGAATATACTGTTGCGTGACCCTACTACAGTTATATCCATTCAGTGTCATGTTTGTCTCTTATTTTGTACTTGTTAACATATCCTTGTTCGTTCAAACTGGAACTAAATAAATAAATCATTTGATTTCATCCATTAAATATGCAATGTTTTATGGCTAATCTTTGGCTTAAAGAGATATTGTTAATTTTGATTGCATATTACATTTGTCAAAGTAACCATTGTCAATTGTTTTGTTTATAATACATTGTTCCTGTACTTTATAAGACATCTTAACAATTTTGATATTTATTTTAGATATCGCCGGGCTTAGGTGTGATCCCAGCACTTATAGCGAAAAGTTCTATATGCTACGATCCCCTTATTTACGTTGGTATGAATTCGCAGGTACGTGTGCTTCTATTTGCTATTTCTCGACGCATTAAGTTTTTTGATTATTATCAGATGTGTGTATACTATTCAAAATTAACCTTCTATTACAGTACCGACAGTCAATTACCCGAATTTTCGCTATACACTCAAAGGGAAGCTCAAACATAGAACACGGATGTCATAACACCATCATATCACATAAACTGTCAGCAGTCAACGAAATAACAATCAAATACAATACATCAGAATCCAATATATTGAATACACCGCAGAGACCTGAAAGAAATACTGTTATTACTGAAACCAGAAACGACGCTACCAGAAGCGATATTAACAACAGAAACTACACGAAGATTCCGGAACTGTCCACCATCCAGGAGAATAAATCCACGTCAGGTGTAGAGAAGTCCGGGGAAACGGTATGCGAAGATGATCTGATCAATGACAATTGTAAAATGACGCCTATAACGGAACCCTGTACACTCACGGATCACCCCTTAATCCTAACTATAGTTGACTCTGACGGGCTTCTGTTAAGCCAAGCAATAAAACGCAACAACAATATCGATGACTTATGGAAAATTTGCGACGTCGATGATCTCGAGATGCATTCTACGGATGCGATAAGGCTAGAAGACACCATACAGATCTCAAGGACGTTACCCACTATGAAGCATAGCTACTCGTTAGACCTCAGCTACGTTGCACAAGAAAGGAAGAGGCAAAAAATCAAAGGTAAATCGAATAAAGCAGTTTGCCTACCCCCACCTGACTTTCTAGTAGATATGATGGTGGTTACCAAATTTCTGGCTCCGGAGGCCGAGCGAGATAGCTTCAAGAATTGTATTTGTATGAATGAGAAAAATAATGCCGATGACGCTAACCTGTAGTTCGCGGTCGTAAAGGCTCATATTGGGAACAAAGCTGAATGATGTCGTTTGTTACATAAATTTATCAAACACTTAGCTTGTAATGTATGGCTTTTTCGCCGTCACTGACGTTTATATTGAAGACGAAATGTTTTTAAAACGAAAGCTATCAAGAGGATCTGTGATAAACGGCCTAGTGCCAAGGCACAGAACAGTTTAGTAAATGAATATATTTTGAAAGTTAAAAATTAAACGAATTTAAAAGTTAAAAGGTTTAAGAGGTTATAAGTGTAAGTAGTACAATTTTCCGTAGAATATTTCGACGAAAATAAAATAATTTTCTCGTAATTTAATTCCAGATAAATAGGACAATTAAGTAATTAACTATTTCATAATTATTATTGCAATTGTGTATTTTTTGTTCATTTTTGTATGCTGACGTGTAAATAATAAGAGATAATTTAAATAAGAATTAAAAAACAAACTGTGCCACGATTTAAAAGACAATGGCAAACCGCCATAGAAATTTACCTTGAACAAATATTTTTGCATCTAATTACAAAAAATATGTAAAAAGAATAGAGTTAAAAGTTCTGAATATATTAAACATACAAATTCTTAATAAAGAAAGTTTAGAATTAAAGATATTTCGGTGTAAAGTTTTTGAGGTTATGTCTTGTAAGTGATGTGTGATGACTATGTGAAAAGTCACGCGCAGTTATTTTATTAGTAGTAGTTTTTTATATCTTATTGTGTCATTATTAAAACCTTGACTTTATTCTTCTATTTTTGACAATAGCGGCAAACTTAAACTTTAAAATGGTGCTTGAATCATTAAATTTAATTTAGAATTATGCTAGTAATAATAATACACTCATATAGTAAAAACATTTTGGTATAAAATGGACTGCGTGAAAGTGTTTCGAGCATCAACAGGAAGAATATTACGCCTCCGATATTCTACTTAAATCAATATGACAAAATATCGGTTGTTACCATTACATTGGCTGTCATTTATAATCTAATGATGGTTAAAAAATTTTCCAAGTTAACAGATTTTCGTTGAAAATAGTACCAAAATATGTTAACTATTCCACCTTTTAAAAAATAATAACATTGAAATAAGTTTAGACCTTCAAAATAACATAAAATATGAATCACTTCTTTGGTATATAGCTAGGTATAATTAAGTGATTTTTTTTAAAAATATTGATGATATTCGATATGAAATAAAAAAAAAATCTTTTTAGTTATTAATTTCTCATTATCTGGTGGTCCTAAAATATTTTGTTGATGGTCCAACCAAGGTACCAGTTTAAAGTCATTGTATGAGTACAACAACTAAATGTCTGCCTTCTAACCAATTAACTAGACAGCAGTATTTTAATAACCCACCCAGATCAGGCGAATGTTCTCCATACAACCAAAAAAGCTTTGCACATATCCTGTAATCCTAGCAAACATTCCCCTAAACACAGACGTTAATTGTTAATGACAATTTTACTTTAACTCTTTCAGTCTTTATTAACTTTCACGCTATCTATTGGTTGTTTTTGGTACTCATTTATGCAGCTATTATCCGAGCCTTGTTTCTTTTACGATGATTCGCGATTAAAACACTAAGAAATAGTTTTACGTGCAAATGTTTGCGGCTTTGGATGCAATTTTTTTAAACGCATCTCTGTGGTGCAATCCATCCCTTTTAAGCAGTCGTCAAAGGATCGATTTATTGTTGACTAAATGTTTTTATCGCCATTTCGTTTAATAACAACCATATTAACCAAATAATTTATAATTATCATTACCAAATAATTTATAATTATTTGGTTAATTACTTTAAAAAATACTAAAAACATTGAAAAAAAAAAATACTTGGCATGATTTAAATATTACATTTAGCGATAATGAATGAAACAATACACTCGAAATTGTAATAATCCCGACTAGATATTAGAAACTCGGCGGGTTTAGTAAATGTCTAGCACATTGCTATACGTAGTAGTATAATGTTAAAGGTCAATTTTTATGTATGGAGTTCGCTTCCCCCCTGAGTATATGTGTTCCTTAAAGGTATGTCGTCTTGATTTATAAACACTAACTAATTTAGAATTTATAATTAAAGTAATCAGTTGATCCAGACCAGGCACTTTTTTTTAAAATTAAAATATAAACACAATATTGTTTTCCAGAGACTAGTAGTATTCTCGCTATCTCTACCTATGTTCTCAGACGATACTTCACTTATGTATCTACATACCGTGAAAACGTATATGTTTGCAAATTACTATCAATAATAAAAGAAAAGAACGAACGGCACTCGTTGGATTCGTCCAAGCCGAATTCGACGAGCCACGAAGCGGCAAGCGCGGCTTCCCGTCCTCCGCTCTACTTTACCACCCAAGTACCTAAAAATTCACTGCGTACAATACCTTAATCCAATGTAATTATGTGTTAATCTCAATGTCCTTTCAAATCACAACGATCCTAAGGACGTTACACTTCAATAATGTATATAGTAAAAGCTAAGTTTACAATATTTTTATTTCAGTATTTCATAACAAAGATGAATCTTATCATTCAGTTGTACAAGATTGTCACATCAGATGGCAAAATATTCTTACAAAGCGGTACTTACAACCTCCTCGAATTTTGCCTCGGTGCCGACTTCCGAAACACCCAGAACATCCGAAACACCCGGAACTAGTATTTATTATAATCTAAAAATAATTATTTGTAAGTATTTTGTAATTCAAGGCTCATATTCTATTAGTTTGTACATTTTTCTGTTTTGAAAAGAACGTTTAATCGATTTGAGCCGCCTATAAAATCCATTAATATCAAGATAAGATTTCTCTTTTTTTTTCACTGTAAATAAAAAAAACATTGATACGTCCTATATTATCTAAATATATTTAAATTGTAGCAAAATAAATATATAGAAAATAGATTTAAGGTTATTATTCTGAACTTGTTCATCAACTTGTTAATGTGTAAATACAAAACTTTTTTCGACATCGACAAATTTAACAATAATTGATTTTTAAATCAATTATTCTTAAATTCAGGATATGATTCTCTTAAACAAAAAAATTATGTATGTATAACAAACTTAATTTTTTAAAACAAGGTGTATATTAAACGTTAATTAAAACAAGCCCTTTTATTTATATCCATATCATAGAGGTAAATGTGGAAATTATAAATCACGGCCAACAAGTGAGTGCGCCAAATTTCAGCTCGATTGTGACTCTGGGAAGAAGGTCAAATTTTTCTTGCAAGATTCCTTTACAGACACCGGGACTGAATAATCTGAATAAAAGCTTGTAAAAAGATTGACGTAATATTTATTAATACAAAAAAAAATTCTTAACGTCAACTAGACTAAGCGATGCCTATCTACTGATAGTTTAACTTAAGGCTGCACAGTTTCGTAAGTAATGGGAATATGTGATTTTTGCTTAATAAGCAGCAAATTACAGCTGGCAGCGGGAAGTCGATGGATGCAGGTGGCTCAGGATCGTGCTTCGTGGCAGTTTGTGGGGGAGGCCTATATTCAGCTGCGGACTCAAATAGGCTGAAATATTAGATGATTTTCACGTTTTATTAACCACTGAGGATTTTATACATTATCAAATATGATTTTATTTTTCCTCGCCTTTTGCATCTTACTGCTCGACCATAATAGGTGTGTTGTCATAAGGTATAGTAATACTTAGGCACTAACTTTTGTTAAAAAAATCTTATCCTTTAAACGAGCAATTCTTGTATATATATATATATATATATAATCGGAATCTCGGAAACTGCTCCAGTAATTTTCATGAAATTTAGTATGTGCGTAGATTCGGGGGCGAAAAATCGATCTAGCTAGGTTTCATTTTAGAAAATGTCCCTTTATCTCTATTTTCAGGGAATGAAAAATATCATTCGAATATGACGGTAAATTTCGCCGTTAAAGAAAATGTCATAATAGCTCGGTCGGTAATCGGGCGGCCCCAAAACAGACGGCCGTGGTTCGCGTCACGATCATTTACACCTTTATTTTTTTACTTTTTTTCGATTCCAGATCATTGCTTTCTTTATTTTTAATTTTTTTGTCGATTTGTTATTTTGTTACTTTTTTCCCTTTTTTTAAAGTTGTTTCTTTTGTGAAAAACGCCACTTCATATTTTCTTATTATTAGGTCGGTAAGATCGAAAAATATTACGCATATTTCATTACTCAGTAATTTGTATCTAAATGTAATTTCCAAAACACACGATTTACCAAAAAAAAACAAACCGAGCAAAGCTCGGTCCTCCGGGTACTGTAAAGTTAAAGTAACAGCATATCAGTCCCACTGCTGAGCAAAGGCCTCCACTATACTGTGGGTATTAGGATATATATTAGGATCGGGTTGGCCGATTGCACATATTCATAATATTTTTTTTAATTATTTTTTCAAAAACATGTATTTGTGACTAATAGAACCGCCCAAATGCGATTAGGACTGGCACACAATGGGTTCCGTACCATTATCTACAAAAACGGCAAAAAAACATGTACTGTTGTATGGGATCCCCACCACTTAAATATTTTTTTATTTTGTTTTTTTAGTATTTTTTGTTGTAGCGGCAATAAAACACATCATCTGTACCACGAGGGCCCGTAGGTAACTAACGCACGCATGAGTACATGCGCAGCTCTATCCGCTGAGGAGGGCCTCAAACCCGTGGGTTCTGGCTAGCCCACTGGTCCTGCGTTCGGTGAAGCTTTAATAGTCTAAGGACTGAAAGCGTAACATCAGTTATACACATCATCTGTGACAATTTCAACTGTCTTACTATTACGGTCCATGAGATACAGTCTGGTGACAGACGAACAGACAGACAGCGGATTCTTAGTGATAGAGTCCCGTTTTACCCTTTGGATACGAAACCCTAAAAATGTATTAAAAAAAGGTAAATATTTAAATATAGAATCAAAAGATTTGAGCGAGAGACAGTGAATAACGTGTTGATCAAATCAAGCGTAAAGTA